TGTGTGGGGTGGGGGAGTGTAACAATGGGGGGGGGGGGGGATCAGGTAAACAGTTGGGTAGTGGGGGAATCTGGGGGTGGGTGGGAGGTGATGATGAGCGCTGAACAGCAAGGGTTCAGGCAGGTGAACAGGTGGGTAGCGGGGGCCAGGCAGGTGAACAGGCCCGTGCACGACGCATTCCGTCCGCCACGGGCGGCATTCCTGTGCGTGGCGCGAGGGGCCAATCGCGTCGGCCAACGCCTTCGCTTCGTCGGGAATAAATAAAATTATATTGTTATAAAAAAATACCGAGACGATAACGCTTTCCCTTGCTCCACACCCCCCACCCACCACCGCCCCCACCCCCCTCTCTCCATTCAGCACCGAGTTGTGGTGCCTATCGCTCCTCTTAGAGGTGTTAGAGATGCGCCGCGGTGGCTAGGAGATGTTAACTCCCTCGCCTGGTGGGCAGGAGGTCGTGGGTTCGATCCCGACCCTGACGCCTGCTGCTCTATGTTTGGAGTTTGCGTGTCTCTCTCTCTCATCATCACGGTGGCTAGGAGATGTTAACTCCCTCGCCTGGTGTGCAGGAGCTCGTGGGTTCGATCCCGACCCTGACACCTGCTGCTGTATATTTGGAGTTTGCGTGTCTCTCTCTCTCGTCCTGTGGTCGCGTGGAATTTTCCCCCGGGTCCTCCGGGTTTTCCCCTCCAGATTAAGAATCAACATCACGCGTTTAAAATATTTAGTTGCAATCAATGTCCACGTGAGAAGCCACTTGGTTGAGCTATCATTTGTGACCAGGTCGCTTCTTTAAAAAAGAGCTACATAGCTCAGTGGGCCTTACCTGGTGAAACTAAAACACGTGACATGTTTGTGTGTGGTGCTGGCCATGGTCCTGCCTAATCGCAAATAACACCGACAGCTCAAACACACTCGTCAATGCCACTTGCCCTCAAAGGAGGAAACAAAAAAGATCGCTCGTGCCCGAAACGTCGCATATTATATCTAACTTCTCCTCCATTTAGGGCAGTGTTATGGAGGAAGGCGTCAAGGATTTTGATTTAACACGTAGCAGGCTTTTGCGACCAATATTATTCATAATATAGGTTTTTGGGTCAGATGGCGTTATTTATAAATGTGTCGTAACCCTCCACCACCCGACATGGCCAAACAGTAAAAAATGTGTCACGTTTTTCAAAGGACAAAATAATTCACTTCTTTAGCCCACCGGTGTGCTGAAGAGAGAATCAACAGCATTAAAAAAAATTAAATGCTGTTGATTCTCTCACATTTTTTACTGTTTGGCCGTGTCGGGTGGTGGAGGGTTACGACACATTTATAAATAACGCGATCTGACCCAAAAACCTATATTATGAAAGGATTTTGATAACCGATGTTAGCTGCTGCGGGGACAGGCGTGCTGTTATGCTGTTGTTATTGTTGTTGTGTCTGTTCGAATGTCCTGGCAGCGTCACACCCGCGCCTTCCGAGCCGGTGACACCGACACACAATTGGGCTGCTCCGTGGAGCGGTGTCACGGGGGTCAGCCTCTCGTTAAACGTCACCCCCTCCCCCCCCCCCCCCTTGTCACACCGGGCTTTACTCACGCCACCGGTTGTTGACAAAGGGGCGAGAGAAAGAGAGAGAGAAGTTGAGTAGGGAGCGGGATGGGCACCTGTTGGCTGGCTCAGATACGGCCCTTGAGAGCAACCGAATCGAAGTTCGAGTCGGGTGCTGATTCGAGCGATGGATGACCGGTGGTGCTGTGGTTAGCGCACCACTCCACGACGCCGGCACACCTGAGTTCGATTCCCCGTCCACGATCCTGGGCCCCCTCCCCTTCCTCCTCCCGTGCACCGCGTGGTGAAATATGGTCAAACAACCCCCACCACTGAGACGATGTTGCGCTGTAACGGGCATGGTTTGTGTCACGTGTTATTGCGCGGATAAAGATAACCCCTTAACAGAGTGTAGGGAGCAAGTGCTGTTAGCGAGTAACACCTATTAAGGCGGGGACGGCACACGAGGGGGTGGGTGGCTAGCACCACGCCCGGCCGCCTTTGTCTCCCCCAATGACGATGTTTACAAACCGCCACCGGGTACGCACCTGAGGCTGAGTCGACCTAGGGGAGGCCCAGGTCCGGTTCTGATATTCGTGACCGGCGTTGGCCGTGAGCGGGAATCTAACTTGGGTGGCCGGGTTCATAGCGCAGCGCGCTAACCACTATACCACCGCTCCCCACACGTGTTACCGCACACACACACACAGCGCATCTTTACTTCGCGATACAGACTCGTCTATTACAAGATTGATACGGTACCAGTGCTGTTTGTCGCTGACCGCTTGGCGTTTAGGGGGCCTTTGGACCCTGTGCTCAGCAACCGTGTTTAAAAATATGTGTATACGCATATATATAGCTGTAAGGGGAACAAAATTAAACATGCAAGCGAGCTCCTGTGTAAGGCTGCACAGCTACACAAAGTGGTGGTGGTGGGTTAGGGGTGGAGGGTGTAAAGTCAGCACCGTATCCACTCGTGGGCACAAATATTGTGCAACAGGAAGAGGTCACGGGACAGGCCCGGGTGGTCCATGCGTTGACCCCAGAGGTCGGCGACCAAAATATAACAAGCAGAAGCACGTGGTGAGTACGAGACGGCGGGGCTGGTCCTAAATAAGTAACCGTGACGAAGCCAGCGGCCCTTAAAGAGCCGCACGCGGCTCAGAGATTCCCTGGTTGCCGACACTCTTTTCGTTAATTGAATTGCATTGCCTAGCCAACTCACTTGTTACTACAAACGACAAAGACAAAGATCCTCCGCCCCCCCCCCCCCCGTGCTGCCACCTATGAAGGCGAAACACTGCACACCGAGCGGGGTGTGTATTGACCAGCACCACGCCGGGCCGCCTTTGTCTCCCAAGCGGCGATGTTTACACACCGCACCAGGTACACTTGTTTGAGGCTGATTCGACCTAGGGGTAGCCCGGGGGACTGGTTGAGTCCGTGTGTCGACCACGCCACGCCACGGACACACAACGCACAGAGGCAACATGCTCCCTCCCGGACAAGATCCTCGGGTTGAATTATCGACGCGAGGGCGCATTGCTGCTGGGGCGCGTGTTTGCTGAGGCAGGTGCGGCTTAGACCTGCCTAGATGTCAAACACTGCCAACGCACACCAACACAAAGACAAAGATCCCCCGCATAGCCTTGGCGGCCAAGTGCTGTTTGCGCGTAGCACCTATGAAGGTGGGAACGGCACACCACCACAACACACCAGTTGCAGGTGAGCAACCACAACACAGCAGTTGCAGGCGACTAACCACAACACAGCAGTTGCAGGCGACTAACCACAACACAGCAGTTGCAGGCAATCAACCACAACACAGCAGTTGCTGGCGACTAACCACAACACAGCAGTTGCAGGCAATCAACCACAACGCAACAGTTGCAGGCGACCAACCACAACACAGAAGTTGCAGGCGAGCAACCACAACACAGCAGTTGCTGGCGACCAACCACAACACAGCAGTTGCAGGCGACTAACCACAACACAGCAGTTGCAGGCGACTAACCACAATGCAGCAGTTGCAGGCGACTAACCACAACACACCAGTTGCAGGCGACTAACCACAACACAGCAGTTGCAGGCGACTAACCACAACACAGCAGTTGCAGGCGACTAACCACAACACAGCAGTTGCAGGCGACTAACCACAACGCAGCAGTTGCAGGCGACTAACCACAACACACCAGTTGCAGGCGACTAACCACAACGCAGCAGTTGCAGGCGACTAACCACAACACAGCAGTTGCAGGCGACTAACCACAACGCAGCAGTTGCTGGCGACTAATCACAACACAGCAGTTGCTGGCGAACAACCACAACACAGCAGTTGCAGGCGACTAACCACAACACAGCAGTTGCAGGCGAACAACCACAACACAGTAGTTGCAGGCGACTAACCACAACACAGCAGTTGCAGGCGAACAACCACAACACAGTAGTTGCAGGCGACTAACCACAACACAGCAGTTGCAGGCGAACAACCACAACACAGTAGTTGCAGGCGACTAACCACAACACAGCAGTTGCAGGCGACTAACCACAACACAGCAGTTGCAGGCAATCAACCACAACACAGCAGTTGCAGGCGACTAACCACAAGACAGCAGTTGCAGGCGACTAACCACAACGCAGCAGTTGCAGGCGAGCAACCACAACACACCAGTTGCAGGCGACTAACCACAACACAGCAGTTGCAGGCGACTAACCACAACACAGCAGTTGCAGGCGACTAACCACAACGCAGCAGTTGCAGGCGAGCAACCACAACACAGCAGTTGCTGGCGACTAACCACAACACAGCAGTTGCAGGCGACTAACCACAACACACCAGTTGCAGGCAATCAACCACAACACAGCAGTTGCAGGCGACTAACCACAACACAGCAGTTGCAGGCGACCAACCACAACACAGCAGTTGCTGGCGACTAACCACAACACAGCAGTTGCAGGCGACTAACCACAACACAGTAGTTGCAGGCGACCAACCACAACACAGCAGTTGCAGGCGACCAACCACAACACAGCAGTTGCAGGCGAGCAACCACAACACAGCAGTTGCAGGCGACTAACCACAACACACCAGTTGCAGGCGACTAACCACAACACAGCAGTTGCAGGCGACGAACCGCACGCGCATCGAAGGTGACGCTGCTGCTGCATTGCTCGGAACACCGCGCAATCCGCAAGAGGAGGAAAAAAAAGCAAATCGTAAAGCGGCTTCCGATGGCGTTCGACGTCGAGGCACACGCAACGCAACCACACGAGGACTGATCAATCGCGAGCTCCCCACGGCCCAGGAGACGAGGCAGACGGCCGAACAAAGCCGCCCCGAGAGCGACAACAAGAACCAAGTGAACCTCGAACGTGAAGATGGAGAGGAGGAAGATGAAGACGACGACGACGATTTTGACCCAACGAGAAAGTGACGCGTGGGCACCCCGGGGAGGGTCATCTGTTTCAACGAATCTTTAATCAACATTACACGTTGTGGGGGGGGGGGGACGGGGGGGCAGGGTTGCGGGTTGGGGGGGTATGCTCACAAAAATACAATTTATTAGACGTCGACTGAGATTTAAAATGTCGCGATAAAAGTGCGTGGTGCCGCGCGTCTCGAATAAGCTGGCTCCTGCTCAACCTTACCACCGCCACCAACGACAAAGATCCCCCGTATAGCCTCAGCAGGCTGCAGGGGCAAGTGCAGTTAGCGAGTAGCACCTACGAAGGCCGGCACGCCCCCGCAAAGGGGATGGTGGCCAACACCACGCCCGGCCGCCTTTGTCTCCCCCAGTGGTCGATGTTTACGCACCACACCAGGTGCTCATTTGAGGCTCGAATTAGGGGAGGCCCATGACCATCACTACTATCACCCACTCAACCACTCACTCACCCACCCTCGCTACCCAGATCAATTCTCACCATTTTTTGTAGAACGTAATTTAAAATCATATTTCAAAACCCGTGCAGGCGATCACGCGCGTACGACCATACCTATCCATATAAATCACCCATATTAATATATATTATCACATAACGCACGATTAGTGTGCCATTATAACCGTTTGTGGCTTCAAAATAAGCCGAACGGCTCGGTGTGCAGGTTTTTGTAACGCATCTCGCCTCAAGACGTCCTGAAGCAGTTTATAAAAATCTTGTTGTTTTTTTACGAAAACATGATTTTGCTTTCCTTTTGGCTTTGTTTAGTAAAATGTCAGCCGGGTATATTTTGTTGTTGTTGTATATACGATTCTCTTTCTGAAGCTGTAAACCTTTGACAGAATAAAACAAAAACCGCGGCGCACCATGGCGATCACGCCGCCACTGCCACTTGATTGTCTTTTGCCCAGCGACTCGCGGCGACCACAAATCATCCCCGGCCTCACGAAGCCGCCGTTCCAACCAACATCGCGCGTTCACCGTTCCCGCGCTCGCTCGCTCGCTTCCCTCCACACCCTCATCCCCACCGCCGCCAACACGAGCAACCTCCCATGCCACCTCGTGCCATCCACCACCACCACCACCGCCACCACCGCCACCACCACCACCACCACCGCCACGCGTCCTGTCGTTGAGCGACATCGGCTCGCCGCACCGTCGCGCTGACAGGGCGCGGCGGTGACCTCACCAGCTGCGGCGCGCGACACGACACGACGCTCCCGAGGTTAATTGTTGCCACCGGTAGCGTGACCACGTGATGCGCTTTGCCAAACATGGCACGGTTTTGCCCGAACTCCGTTCCTCGTGAGTTCACCACCTCGCCTCCGCACTCGAGTACGAATCAAGCCGTGACACGCCGCACGCGCCTGATGATTGCCGAACAAATCCCACGTGTGGGACACGCACACACACGTGCACGACCTGCAGCCACTCATCTTCGTTTTGGTCGCTCGCTGTCCACTTCACGTGGGTACAACGTTTAGCAATCATCAGGCGCGCATAGCACCTAGCTAAACATTTTTTTACGTGAATGGTGAAGAATGTATCGTCACAATCAACCCCGACACAGCGTCCAGTTCCTGGGCTGTCTAGACGAAGCTAAAAGGCTGAACTCCGAACGAGGAGCCGATCGTGCCGATTGGGGTAAACCCTAATCAATGAGCGGTGATCGCTTCCACCGCTATATAATAGAAGCGGAGAGAAAACAAAATGATGAAAGTGTTTGCGCGATTGCCGAGAAGATCCCAACGCTCGCTCTCTCAATGAGTCCGGCGATCTACGCGCCCGCTCGCTGACACCTGCACTTAATTTATTTCTGAACATTTCTCAGAATCAGGATCTTTATTTATCCTGGAGAAATCCAATGAGCTGCAAAGCTCTTTTTCACAGATGTCCTGTAGAGGCAGGTTTTGTTGTTGTTGTTGTTGCTTGCCCGGCCCCTACTGGTAGGCGATTGGTAGCATAGCGACGACCATCTTGAAAGGTTTGCTGGATGTGCTGTGCAAGGGCTACGTGGAAATATATTCTGGATCACTGACCCAGACAGGCCCGGCCGAAATTTAGCGCCACTCAAATCCCGTCGCTTACCAAAAGCCATGAGATACACTTCTAGGCCTCCTCGGGGAGTGAGGGGAAACAAATCATCAAACTCAGCTTTAGCACCATGACAACGAGCTTCAAAATATCACCTGTAAGCTGAGAATTTTTTTTTTTTTTACAAAAATGAATCAAATAGGAATTACATAAAATAACTTAAAGGCGACAAGCCTCAGCCGGAGGTCCGGCGGGGTTTGTAGGCAGTGTTCTGGCCAGAGGTAGAAGCCTGGGCCTTGCCTTGGCCCTCCTCAGTGGCCGCCCCTTTGCCCATTTCCCCTGCCTCCAGGCAGCCCGAGCCCTTCCAAGCCAGCGGCACGTAGGCCTGCAGCGAGGTGACCCCGCTGCCCGGCAACTTAGAGGTCAGCTTGACCCAGGAGGGTGGTGGAGTAGAGTCTCCGAGGTAGCCCACCATCGCCAGGCTCCCTGAGGGGAGAAAACAAAATGACGCAGATTATCGCTCGCCCCGCTCCTCTCTCTCAGCGTCGTCCCCGAGTGTCCGAGTGCCTGTCGTGATTGAGAACCACGCACAATGCCACGTAACCACACACAATGCCACACAACCCCACGCAACCGCGCACAACCCAACGTGTCAATCGGTGGCAGCTGTAACGCGGCAGATTTCTGGCACCCGGACCCTTTGCGGGCGTTGCCAAAGCCGGCGTCGTTGCGTCGTCCCCGCCATGTGGAATTAGTAGAAATTCGAAAGTGTGATGGCGAGAGACCGGGCGACTGACTGACCCGTGCTGTGATATCTCACCTCCTGGGAAGGGCACAACGCCGCTGGGCGCTCCGATCAGAAGCAGCGCAGCCGCTAGGTCGTCCGCTGGCATTTGGTTCAGTTGGCCGGACGCGAGCACCACGACCGACCTTGGGAGCAGGCGAAGGAGGGTGGTATAAGAGTGGTGGTGGCGATAAAACATTTTGGTGATGATGGAGGTGGTGGATGGTGGTAACAGTGGTGATGGTGACGGAGGGATGTGATGATTGGTATCGGTAAATGTTGTGGTGGTAGTGATGTAAAAGTTTTGATCATCGTGGAGGTGTGTGGCGGTGGTGGCAGTGGCATTGGTGGCAAGGGACAGCCCCCCGGGGGTAAGGGGCAGGGTGGTAGAGGGGAGGTAGGATTGGAGAGAAATGGACATAAGTTAGGGGTGGAGGTGAGGAAAGGTTAAACAGCCAACCCTTTCAAGATCTCGTCAAATAATAATGAAGTCCAGCCGATGATGACCAGAGTCAGGTCTGAGGACGTCATCTCAATCGGAGTCTATCACCGTAACCCATGGCTCTCCGTGTTCACCGCCGTTCCCAACGCAGGCCACCAAAAAATACACGGAATTCATCGCCGAGTTTTACATGCGTTTTTAGCATTGCCCCGTGTTTTTTCCCTGCTTTACCCGGGCCGTGATCCTGGGGGGTCATCGCCATTACGGGGTGGTAGTGGGGGGGGGGGCTCGGGGTGGGGGGAGGGGCGCTCGCCCACTAATGGCGTGGGGTGGCACCTCTTGGGGAGGCGCGCGAGCGTGAATCTCGTGACGTTGACGAGCGGCGTTCGGAGCGTCTTCTTGGAGAGAAGTCGGCCGCTGCAGGCGTCGACGGCCACCACAAGGAGGCCCGGCGAGTCCAGCGCCAGGCGAGTGCCGTTCACCTGCAACCGAAATGACCGGCACAGAGTCCGGTGTTGTTAGCGAGCATCTATTTCATGACGGTGTTGTGTTTTTTTTGCTTGCGTTCGTGGCTACCGTAATATACGCGTCGGTCGAAATTTACCCCGAGACTCGCTATACGCGCAATTGAATCGCGCGCGCGTCAGAGAAGAATGTATTCGCCGTTTGTGCCGAATTCTATTCGAAAGCCGGGTGATTCACCACAGCCGTGCCCACTCGGAGAGGCCCCGTCTCGAAGGGCTTTGGGTGTCTTAATTTGGAGCTTTCGTGACTGCAGGAATTCATCTTCTTGGTTCTTTCGGTAAAGCACGTAGAATGGAAATAATAAAATAATAAAAATAAAACATAATAAAATAATTCTCATGACGTTTCGGCCGCAACGCAAGCAGCCGTCCTCAGATGGAGAACAGGTCTGTCGAGAAGACAGAGTCTGAATTCAGACTTTACCGAAAGAACCAAGAAGATGAATCCTAAAGGTGTTTTGTTCTGGCTCCGCCAGTCTCTGCCGTTAACATGGAAACCCCATAAATGTGCCAACGAAATACATTTGAAACAATCCTTAAGGCACCTCAGCGCGGCAGTCAGAGAACACAGACATCCACTCGGAACCACAAGAATCCTGCCTTAGTCTGGCTGTCTGAGCCTCGGGCCTTAACACGGAGCCCTAAGAGTGCACCGATGAATGGATGTGCACAAACCCGCGCGCACGGCGATACGCGGCGTCACCAGAACGCCCGGGTAGCACGCGAGAGAAACAACATCGCACTTCGGGCCGAGGGGCGTGCGTCAGCAAAGGCTGCGATTCGAGCGGGCCCTCGACCGGCAGCAAAAAAACAACAACGCAACGCTCCCGCACACAACGCGAGACGGCGAGGGTGCCTGGCGCTCCGCCAATCTTGACTCCTCGTTGTCGCGACTCGAGCCTGCCCTTACAAACCGCCCGCCCGCCCAGTCGCCCCAATCGCCCCGGCAGCCCGCCCCACGGAGGAATGCGTCTTTAGAATTCACTTATCGTGTTCGGCCATCGCAGATGATTTCAAATTCTTGAATCTGTATCCCAGGTACCCCCCCCCCCCTTTGAATCTATAATCCAGGTCTCCCATTTGAATCCATTTCCCAGGTCTCCCCTTTGAATCTATATCCCGGGTCTCCCCTTTAAATATATATATTCCAAACCTCCCATTTGAGTCTATACCCCACGTCTCTCCTTTGAATCTATAATTCAGGTCTCCCCTTTGAACCTATAAACCCCCATGTCCCTCCGCCCTGCCCTTCATCTGCCAGCATCGTTTCTATCTGAGCAAAAAAACAACACAATTTGCCAAAGATACAAACAATAAAGCGAGAGAGTGAGAGAGAGAGAGGTCGAGAGAGAAACTGGAGTAAACACCGTGGCAAGAAGTGGTTACAAATGAGCCACTTCGCAGCGTTTGTTTTGAAAACCGGGCGGGAAATTCATCAGCATCGTCTGACATCCCACCGCGTTCACCCCCCCTACACCCCACCCCCTCCCTCCTTCTCGTTTATTATCGCACGTGGAGCCGTCAGCCCGCGGGGTTGACTGATCAATCTTCTGTCTGTACGTGCGTCTGTCGGTCTGTCTGTCCGTGCGTCCGGATGTCTGTCTGTGCATCTGTCTGCCCCTCTGTCTGTCCATCCAGATGTGTTTGTCTATTCGTGCATGTGCCTGTCCCTCTGTCTGTCCATCCAGCTGTCAAGCTGTCTGTCCGTCGATTCACCTATCTGTCCATCTGTCTCCTATGTCTGTCCGTCCGGCTGTACGGCTGTAAGTGTGTCCGTTCCTTTCACCTTCTGTCCGTCCGTACGTCTGTTGCACCACGCTTGGAAAGTTCTCAAAGTAGTAATAATAAGGAAAATATTTTTAAATAACACGTAGGCTTTCGCGACCATTATCATCCATAATGGAGTTTTTTTGGGTTAGATCGCGTAAATATATAAATGAATTGGCATGTCCCATTTACGTGACAACCCTTACTAGTTGGCTGTGTCGGGTGGTGGCGGGTTTTAACAACACATTTAAATATTAATGCGATCTAACCCAAAAACACCTCTATTGTGGATGTTTGAAATACTCCACCGAAATGATTGAATGTTTTGAACGGGGAGTTAGGAAAAACACGAAGTTAGGAAAACCGAGCGTTAGACAGCGTGCGAGCTTGCGGGCATGCGCTCGATCGACAGCTCGGTGAACTTCGCGCGGGAGAAAACAAAGACGCCCCAAAAATAACCGCGGCCACTTTAGGCGGCGCGCGGTTTGTGTGTTTTTTTTTTGTCGCGCGGTTGGAAGAGCTGCGACCTCGACGCGAGCTACGGAAAGGAGCGCGAGCGCGCAGGAGGAGCGGAAGAAGTTCAACAAACATATGTGTTACGTATGTTTGTGTTTTACCAGGTAAGGCCTCACTGAGCTATGTAGCTCTTTTTCAGAAGCGACTTGGCTATCACAAATGACAGCGCAACAAAGTGGCTTATGATCGTGTAGAAATTTCTAGCAGTAGCCTAAATGCTGCTATAAAATTATGTTGATTCTAAACGTGGAGGGAAAAACACGCAGAAAAATCCACACAACCACGGGGAGAGAGACACGCAAACTCCAAATATGCAGCAGACGTCCGGGGTGTAATCGAACCCACAACCTCCTGTATACCGGCGAGGGAGTTAACATCTCACCTGCTGTATCGGGTGAAACTGCTGAATGCTTTTATAATTAATAACTCATGCTCTCGTTATATATATATATATAATACAATAAGGAATGTATCTAAAATGAAATGTACAGGAAGAACAATGTCATATTTATATTAAAAGAAAATATTCTCTAAATGGTCTATGATAGAGCATGGCGCTCACTCCCTCCATCTCACACTCTGTGTTTCTCTCACATTCTCTCACTTTCTCTCTCTGTCTTACTAACTCCTCCCTCTCGCTCTGCTGTGGTCTCTCCAAGGCGCTCATCTTAAGAGACAGATAGAGAGGGGGGGGGGGAGGGGGCGGTGAGCTCCTCCGCTGTTCTCACCTCCACGTAGTTTGTGACTCTCCCCCCATCGCGAATCTCCCCGGGCTCCGCCACGTGGACGTCTATGGGCAGGTAGGTGCGGTGCGGGTCGCTCGTTATCAGCAGCTGAAAGCGAAAACAATTGCGGCGGTTACTTTCCCGGTTATTTTTTGACATCGTTGGTTATGCGACGAACTATTATGTCGGCATGGTTGGCTACGTATGGTGCGAAAGAAGTTCAACACAAACGCGTACATTTGTGTGGCGAGCTAAATATCTTGACGCAGCCGCGCAAGCCAATGATGTCATCGTAATTCAAGTACAAAAAAAATGTTTCGATGGCCACGCTACCGTTGCTCAGCTCTTACTTGAACATAGAACGGAGGGTCTAAAGGAGGGCCTACACAATTTGAGGGCCTAAGGCGAAACAGCCTCATCAGCCTGCGGGTTAATGCGGCCCTGTGTGGGGGCATTGCTGTATGAATAACTCTCCCCCGTGGACAAATGACCGAACGAACAGACGGACAAGAGACTGTGCGGGCGCAACGCTGTTCGGGCACTGCACCTGTGGAGCCCCACAGCCTGGGCACGGCCTAGTCACGGGGCTCAGGAGGCGGTCGCGGGCAAACTCGGTGTGGGGGGACGGGGAGGACTCGGCCGGAGAGAGACCGCGAGACGTCGGGGCGGCGGTGGTGGCGGCGGTGGTGGCGGTGGCAGCGGTGGCCGTGGCGGCCGTGGCGTCGCTGGCTTCCTGGCACGTGGCGGGCTGCGTGGAGGCGGCGGTGCCACGGGGCGGCGTGGCGATGATGCGCACGCGCTCGCACCCCGTCGTGGAGCAGTAGGCGTTGCCGTGGCGCTCCCGACGCGAGCTCACGTGCAGGTGCAGGAGTCTGCGCACAGACAAGGGGGGGGGGGGGTGAGTGCCATTTAGCGAGCACCTATTGATGCCGACGTAGCACGCGAGTTGCCGGAGGGTCAACGTCCACACCCCCCACCCCCCTTTCATGACCGGTATCAAACTCAGCCAGCTGTACCTGAGCCTGACCTGGAGCCCGACTGAAGCCAGCCGACTCGTCACACCTGATCCCGCCTGGTCCCATGTGACCTCAGCTGTAGGCCTCGAACGATTCAACCTGCCCGCTTTAAATAATAGTTTTTTTTTAAATCACTATTCCACTCGTTTATCCAGAAAAGCCTCACCGAGTCTCAGGACTCTTTTTCAAGAGAGTCCTGTCCAATTTTCCCGATAGGGGGGCGACGATTGCTCCGGGGCACCACGACGGCGAGACGTTAACTCCCTCGCCTGGTATACAGGAGGTGGCGGGTTCGATCCCGACCTCCGACGATGCCTGCGTATTTCGAATTTCACACCCTCTCGCGGCTGCGGGATTCTAACCGTGAATCCAGCAAATCGGCCGTCACGACCGCAGGTCGCAAATCGACTCGAGAAACCAATCGTGCTTATTGTACTCCGCGGCGCAATGCTGCAGCGCCTCCAGTGTCTACGCTAGCGCCCTCAGCCCCCCCCATCCCCCCATTCTGCCTCCCCGGCGGCGCCGTCTCACCCGGTGCTGGCGTCGTGGAAGTAGAGACGGCGCCCGTGGGCGGTGCGCAGGGCGTCGGGCGAGGCGGCCGCTTGCAGCCGCTGCGCCCCGTGCACCTGCGACAGCTGGCGCTGGTGCACGTCGGACACGACGGAGAAGGTGGTGCCGCGTGGGTAGCATAATGCCACGCGCACCCAGTCACCCCTGCACGCGCGGACGGGGGACACGCGACGGCGCTCACCGACCATCCCGCTGTTCCCCGTCGCAGGGACACCCGGGGGTCACTGGCGGCCCCTTTGGTGGCCTTTAGCGTGGGCAACCCCCCCCCCCCCCCCGTCACCGCCCCAGACAATACACAAATGTGAAAACGCAACCCACCGTCATCGTGCTGTCAAACGTTTACCATCTCCCCCGGCACGCGCTAAGCGGCGTAGAGTGAATCCCCAGATTGGGAATATTCATTTAGACTGGAGGAGGAGGAGGAGGAATCCGATGAGCGACGAAGCTCTTTTTCACCCACGTGATCACGGCGAGCCGCACCGCGGGGGGGGGGGGGGGGGACCATCGCGTGCGTACAAAGGGGGAAGAACTCCGACGGAGGTGGCTCGCGACGACCCCCCCCCCCCCGCCCACCTGTTGAAGTTGACGAGGTAGATGGTGACCTCGTCCGGCGAGGGCCCGTCCCAGCGCAGCGAGTAGTCGGTGCCCAGCTGCACCACGGGCTGGTACTGCTGGAAGGCGGCGGTGCCGCCCGACGGCGGATAGAGTCCCCGGAGGGTCATGACCCCCGCGTCCGCCCCCGCTGAGCGCTCGCGCCGCACGGAAAGCGTGAGGTTCTGCGGCCGCCGCGCCTGCACGTACAGCTGAACGAAAACGCGCACGTGTCCGCGTTAACGAGTTTTCAAACTAAATCGGAAGTGTTGCATCTGACAGCGTGACGTTGAGGCATGGGGCACTCCCCCCCTCCCCCAACCCACTGGCCCCAAAGTGTGGGGCCCGGGGCAGTCGCCCCGATTCACCGTAATCCGAGGGATAACGGCCCAGCCACTGCCAAGATTCCCGTCCAGTGCAGAGTGGAATGACGGAGACGAGGCAGGTAAGTGAGCGAGCGAACGAACGAGCGAGCAGAGAAAGTGAACATACGACCACGTGGGTGAGCGAGCGGGCTAGTGGGCGAGTGTATGATCTAAGGCCCGTGAGCGAGCGGGGTGGGTGAGTGGGTGGGTGTAACTTACCTGTGCGTAACGTCCCGGGCAGATCATGGCATTCCAGTCGCTCTGCATGTGGCAGGCCGGGGTCCAGAGCAGGGCATTGTCCGCGCGCGCCACGTGGGAGTCGGGAAAGCCCGACACGGAACCGTCCACGTCGTGGAATATGGAGTTCTTGTCGCCGTCCAGGTCGTTGTCCTCAAACCACGGGCCGGGTTTCCCAAAGTTCACGCTGAGCTTCACCTGGGGTGGTGGAACACAACAACAAAGACCCCCCCCCCGATAACTCTTTAACAGACAGTTGGGGCAAGTGCTGTGCGCGGCAATCACCTGTGAAGGAAGGGTCAGCCAAGCGTATGAAGGGGGGGGGGGGGGTGTGTGAGCAGCAACCATGCCCCGCATGCATTTGCTCCCCAAGTGTGGATGTTTACACCAGCCGCGCCAGGTACGCATTGAAGGTTGAGTCGACCTAGGGGTTGCCCAGCACCGGTTCAGGTCTATGGGTCCTACAAGAGTCTATGGGAGTTTATGGGTCCTCTATGAATCTGTGAGATTGGGCCTCTATGAGTCTATGTGAGTCTCTCTGAGTCTATGTAAGTCTATGAGTTTTCTTTGAGTCTATGAGATGGGGAGAGTGTTTGGGTCCTCTAGGAGTCTAAGCGAGTCTCTCTGAGTCTATGCCAGTCGATGCGGCCTACATGAGTCAATGCGAGTCTCCGAGTCCTCGATGAATCGACGAGAGTCAATGGGTCCCCTACGAGCCCATGGGAGTCCCCTACGAGAGCGGTGGCCCGCCGGGGGTGTTGGCCCCGCGCACCCACCGAGTCGTCCATGCGCACGCGCGACACGTTGTTCTGCGGCGTCATCTGCCACACGTTGCGCAGGAAGAAGCCGATGGCACTGCTCCGGCGGTCGCGCGTCGGCGCGAAGTGCCGGAAGGTGCAGCGCTCGACGCGGCACGGCCCGTCGTAGAGCTGCACGCCGCGCACCGGGAACGAGCTGCGCCGCCACACACACAAAGACAAAGATCCCCCGTGTAGCCTTAATTGACTGCAGGGGCAAGTGCTGTTAGCGAGTAGCACCCATGAATTCTAGATTTGAAGCTTTCGTGACTGCAAGGATTCATACTCTTAGCTCTTTCGGTAAAGTCACGTAGGTAAAAAATTAAATTAAAATTAATAAAAATAAAACATTTTTTACCTACGTAACTTTACCGAAAGAGCTAAGAGTAAGCACCTATGAAGGCCGGCACGGCACACGAGGGGGTGGGTGGCCGTCCCCATCGTCTGGAACGCGACCATCGTCACCATCGGCATTGCCCACGCTGCATATTTGCAGCAGCTGCAGCGTTCAACCTGCACCGACTGTCGAGAGGCGCTGGGAGGCCCCACGTCTCTCTCGCCCGGCTCTCGAGCGGCCGATTCGCTATCGCTTCGAGCCGCAAAGTCACGGCCGTTTGACGACGCCGCTCGATTGCTGTGCGCGCTACTCTTGTCAATTATGCATGGGCTGTCACAGATTTTGAGATTGAGATTCCGCTCAACAATTCATCCTTCTTCGTCTCACTTTCTCCGTCGCCTTCCGCAAAAAAAAAAAAACTCATCGATTCGCACTCAGCGCGAGCGTTTTTTTCCAAAACCGTTTTTGTTTATTTTCGTGTTCTATTTTTGCGGTACGCGTCCTGCTTCTATTCATCCCGAGGTCTCCTTTGAAAGAGAGACCCCGAGTCTCAATGGGCTCTCACCCGGCCATAAATAAAGGACTTTGATTGATTGATTGTTTGACCGTAAGCACGCACTATGCCGTATGCACAAAGATAATAACGCCCCCCCCCACCCCGTATAGCCTTAACAGACTGTTGGGGCAAGTGCTGTTAGCGAGTCGCAGCTATGAAGGCAGGGACGGCACACGATGTTTACACATCGCACCAGGTACTCATTTGAAGCTGAGTCGACCTAGGGGAAGCCCAGGACCGGTTCAGATAAATCGTCACCGTTGTTGGTTACCGTGAGCGGGAATCGAACGCGGGCAGTCTGGGTTTGCAGCGCAGCGCGCTAACCGCTGCGCCACCGCTCCTGCGTGTGTAAACAGATGATGGGGGACGGGGGGGGGGCGATGGAGAGCGGGGAGGTGGAGAGGGGCGAGCGTGTGATTTTGGGAAAGGTTACCCGCGTCAGCCTAAAAATAAAAACCCGCTTTATGCAAAGTGCAACGGGCAAATTCCTTCGCAAAAAAACAAACTTGGGGGGGTGGGGAGGGGTGAGGTGCGTCATCCGACCTCTTGGCTCGCGGCGTCAAGTGCGGTCGGGCTTTCTAAAGAGGGGGGAGGGGGGTTGGGGGACTCCGCCAGCGCTGCCGTGCAAATGTTAAACGATCCGCTTGGCATTTCACTCGGGCACGGCGCATTCATTGCGGATGCCCTCCCCGCGCGGTCAGCACGGTACTTTTCCCGTAAAGTGCCTTGTCCCCCCCCCCCCCCCACTGCACGTCCCCAACAAAGTAAGGGATTTTTTTGTGTGTCTTATAGCTCCCCAGCCCCGTTTGCCATTGACCGCTCGCTTCGCTCTCTCGTGGGCTACCGGCCGGAGGAGTTTTACAATGAAAGCAAACAGAGCCGAGCCGCAGAAGCAGTGACAAGAACAACCACGCACACGCAAGGCAGCCACGCCGCGGTGACTTCGTGACAATTCTCCCGCTCCGTTTAAGATTTGTTTTTCTTTCTCTCTCTCTCTCCTCTCTCTCCGTGGCGTGCGCGATGACGACCACAACCACGTCACTTTTTTTTCGTGTTGTGCGCGGTGCTTTTAGCGCCACAGCGCGTGGATTTGTAGCGTTTATTTTCATTTGTTTGCTGGTGACTTTGTGTGTTTCATATCGAAATCGCCTCCAGTGCTTTTGCTGCTGGCGGCAATAAAAGTTGTTTAAAAGTCAAAGTCTCTCTCTCTCCTCTCTCACGTTTGATCGTAGGTCTGGGATTTTTCAGGCTTGGGCACTGTTGGTGAATCTTAAGAATCCTACTTGAGAGTTCGGCTCCAGCGCACGAGCCGATTTGATGGCTCCATCTCATCGGTTGACGTCCTCTCGGGACTGTGCCTCTCTCCACTGTCTCGACAACCGACCATCGTCCCAGTTAGCGACGTGTCCTCACCCTCGCAGTCAATACGACAACGTCTGACTTGCATGTTCTCTCGAAACCACGTGTTCCTCTTCCTGCCAATTCTGTGTAAGTCTAAAGATGAACAGACACCTCCATCCTTCTTTGCACACGTTTCAACTTTAGATTCAATGGCGGTGACGATGTCTACCTTTCCAATCCGTCGCATATAACTAAACTATTAAGCATTTTTTTTTCACCAGGTAAGGCATCACTGAGCTATGTAGCTCTTTTTCAGAAGCGATCTGGCCACAAATGATAGCTCAACGAAGTGGCTTATCATGTGGACATTTATAGCAGCCATATACTCTAAAGGCGTGTTTCTAAATGTGGATGAAAAAACCAAAGGTCCCGGAGAAAAATCCACGCAACCACGGGGAGAGAGACACGCAAACTCAAAATATGCAATCGTCAGGGTCAGGATCGAACCCACGACCCTCCTGTATACCAGGCGAGGTAGTTAACATCTCCTAGCCACCGTATCACAGCGGGTCACTAGTACTGCAGGCAGCATGTCACCAGCAGCTACAGCCGTGGTGAGAGGTAAGTATACTTGACGCGGTGTGCCGGTTGTCTAAATATTTCACAGCCGCTGGTCGACTGGACTCGGTGGCACGTGGTGGTGTCGTGGGTGTGTGTGCCAGGCGCGTTGGAGTCGGCGTCTCGGGTTTGGGCTTTAACGGCGCAAGCGCGCCGGAGGCTTTCCGGGCCCTTGTGGAGACAAATAAAAGCCTCTTCAGACGTGCGTGAAATTCGGCGCGTGAGCATCGACGGGGGAGGGAGGATGGAGGGGAGAGGGCGGAGAGCAGGGGGTTGCTGGGATCAGGGGTTCCTCTATTGCCCTGCGTGGATCTTTCTAAACGCGAGTGACGAGGCCCTGCAGCCACCGCCGCGTGTAAGGTGCCGTCATGGCGAGATATTAACTACCTCGCCTGGTACACAGGAAGTCGTGCGTTCCATCTCGAGCCTGACGCCATTTGTCTCCAGGTCGCCCGGTTTTTCCCCTCCAAATTTAGAATCAACGTCGCGCGTTCAGAGCACTTGTGCTGCTGTACGTCTCCGCACGATGATGATGATGATGAGTCACTTCATTGGGTGGGCTATCGTTTGTGTTGGCCATGTCGCTTCTGAAAAACAACAACTACATACCTCGGTGGGGCCTTACCTGGTAAACAAAAAAAAAATAGCTTACATTCTTTTTTTAAACGTTACGCGCCTTTGACCTTGTAAGCGGCGGGCCGGATCGGGTGGAGCGAGCGGTGCGGAACGCAGCGGAGGAATTCCGTGGCTGGCGTGTTTGTTGATTTGTTTGTCTGCCCGCTCTGAAGGATCGTCATTCTCCCGCAAGGCTTCGTTCCGCTACTTCGGAAAGGGCGGCTCTTGCGCGAGACGAGGAGGAGGTGGCGGTCGCCAAGGCAAGCAAGGCACGCCACACACACACACGCGTGCACACCTGAGCGCACACATGCATACAAAGACAAAGGCAAAGATCCCCCGTATAGCCTCAACAGACTATTGGGGCAAGTGCTGTTAGCGATAAGCAGGTATGACGGCCGGCACGCTACACGAGCAGGGGTGGGATGGCCAAAACCACACCCGACCGCCTTTGTCTCCCTAGTGGCGATGTTTACACACCGCACCAGATACTCATTTGAGGCTGGGTTGACTTAGGGAGAGGCGCAGGATGGGTTTGGATAATCGTCACTGGTGTTGGCCGTGAGCCGGAGTCGAACTCGGGTGGCCGGGTTCGCTGCGCAGTACACTAACCACTGTGCCACCGCTCTCCAATTACACACACACACATATGCACGCACACACGCACAAACACTACACATTCGCATGTATCAGACCCCGCATTGTCTGTGCTTTATAAACGCTGGCAGGAATAATAACATCACCAGCATCAGCATTATTAAAACCAGCTGGACATTTGCAACGGAATAATTACGTCACGAGCTGATGCTTGGGACACTGGGGCTTCCTTTCGCTGGGATGAAGAGGCACTGCTTCACATGTTCATCACGGCCATCATGATGATCGTCATCGGAAGCCATGGTCTATCCACTGCTGGACGAAGCCCTCAACGCGCAAGGACCGTCCGTCACACTCCTGCAAGGTTCACTTGTGACGTGGTGTTTCTGCTGTAAGGCGGCCATGTTTTATGTGAATGGTTGATGGTTAGACACGTGGCCGTCCATTGATTAATCGATTAAATCAATTCACGACGCATGAAGCGAATCACTCGCCTAACTATCCCCTCTCATCTCACTCCACTCCCTCCCGTCCACGCTCTCTCTCCGCTCCACGAACCAAGGCTTTCTGCCGGAGGTTACAGTCAAACGTTTCCTATTGGGAGGTCGCTCACTCTCCTTTGCTGTGCCTAGCGCCTCGAATTTCCTTGAGTGTGTGAGCGCATGAGTGTGTGAGCGAGCGAGCGATTCAGTGAGTATGAAAATGTACGAGAGAGCGAGCGAGCGAGCACTCACGAGGTGCGAGCCATCGTCCGGAACCGCCCGTCGGCGCCCGCGCCCCAGAACCGGTTCTGGCCCCCGTTGGTGCCGAGGTTCCCGCTCTCGCCGACGAAGATCGAGTCAGTCACCTCCTGGCTGGAGCCCTCGTCCGTCGGGAAAGTCCCGTCGCTGGGAAAGCGCCGAGACAGCGGCAGCAACAGCGGCAGCAACAGCAGCGTCAAAAAAGGAAAACTGCCAGGGATGGCTGCTCTACAAAGTCCACCGCGTGTTCCGCCCGTCCAGCACGAGAATTCAAAGCTCGGAATGGTGAACTCACCTGGCGAAGGTGATGCCGATCGCGTTGTCAGCAAACCTGTGGGAAGGACAAAGAGGCAGACGCGGCGTTAGCGGACGCGTGCACACGTACAACGACCACCGGCCGCTCCAGCCAGGACTTCAATATTCCCAGCGGGCCCATCCCGAATGAGAGACCCCGGGGGAAATAATTCCTGCACCCCGACACTCCACATCCGGTATAACCCCTCTCGCAACGGCGTGAGCGTGTGGGAAGAGTGGGGGGGCGGTGGTGGGGGTGGTGGTGGTTGGCGGGGTTGAGTGGAACTTCCGCGCCAGCGCCCGACACGGCTTGCGGGGACTCACGCGGAGTTGCGCACGGAGATGGTTCCGCCGCGCAGCCAGGCCCCGTGGTCGTTGCGGAACGCGACGAGGCGGTCGAAGACGGCAGCGACGGCCGGCTTGGCGGGGTCGGCGTCCTCGTGGGGCCGGTACCTTGGTGGGGGGGGGGGGGAGGCGAGAGAGACGGGGGGGGGGGGGGGGGCTGCGTCACCGTGCGTGCGTGACGCCGCCGCTGCCCTGTGGCCGAGTCGTCACGTTCGAACTTTCCGAGCGATGGTGGTGGGGGGGGGGTGGTGCTCCTGCCGCGTCACTCCGCGTGGAGCTGCTCACCTGGCCGTGACGAGGGACAGGAACTCCCGGGGGCTCTGGGCGCTCGCGGGCGTCACCTTCACCCCCTTGTCCAGGAAGACCCCGGCCTGCGGAACAGCAGCGAGCCGTTAGCCCGTTAACCCGTTAACACGTTAACACGCCCCCACCTCCCACCGAACAATACCGGGCTGCGACCTGCGCCGAGACGTCTGTTTCACCTGCTGCACGTTGCAATCCATCGTCATCATCGTCGTCATCGTCGTCGTCGTCGTCATCGTCATTGTCGTCGTCATTGTCATCGTCGTCATCGTCGTCGTCGTCATCGTCGTCGTCATCATCGTCGTCATCGTCATCGCCGTCATCACCGTCATCACATCATCGTCATCGTCATCACGTCATCATCGTCATCATCGTCGTCATCGTCGTCATCATCGTCATGGCCGTCATCACCGTCATCACATCATCGTCGTCATCGTCGTCGTCGTCATCATTGTCATCATCGTCATCATTGTCATCGTCGTCATCGCCGTCATCACCGTCATCACATCATCGTCGTCATCGTCGTCATCACGTTCATCAGCCGTGTCCACCCCCGCATCAATGCGCATCCCCCATCCTGCTGTGGCGTTGCGCTGCGAACTTTGCCGCTCCACCTCCGCGGTGGGCGAGACCCTCGGCCGTGCACCTCCTTGTCGATGCAATTGCTGCCCTGCGATTTATAGATTAATCTTATGCTGCTTTTAAAAAAAAAGACACAAAAAATAAAACGGCTTCGTCTACGGGTTGAATCTGCCGAAAGTCTATTGCACGCTCGTCATCGCGTCAGCGGATTTTTGTTACCCACCGGATCCATCAATCTTTCTCTCTTGGCCCTAAATCACAGGCGAGTTGCCGCACCCCCCCGCCCCCCTCCTTTGCTGCAGCTTCGCGGTCTTCAGTTTTTTGCGCTTCCAGACGCAAGTGTGGCCCCGATGTTCGTGGCCCCCCCAAGGAGCCGTCTGATGTCCCCCCCCACCCTCCCCACCCCCCCTCCCCCTTTGACCGCAGGAATATTTTCGCCAGCCCTCATTGACAGTAGCCGTCAGCAAGGGCATTACCCTCGGATTGCCATTAAACCTTTATTTGCAGTGACGCACGAGCTACACGTGAACAAGCCACATCAGAGCATGTTGAGACGACACCTCTACGAAACTCCGATCGCTCCACTGGCTCCCAATGCTAATCCTGGATCAATCTCAAGACCGTGTGCGTGTGCAGGCATTGGCGTGCGCACGGGCAGCGGTCGCTCTAGCGGTCAACGCACTGCTGTTACCAACCCGGCGGCCTGGCCTTCGACTTCCAAAATCAACGGCGAAGCCGCCCTGGACCTCCCCTAAGTAGACTCAGCCTTTAACTCGCAACTCAGTGCGGTGTGCGTAAATATCAGCGCGGCGTCCAGACGGTAGCGCCGCGCTTAGCGCTACGCTGCGCCACGAACCAGGCGACCCAAGTTCGATTCTCGCTCACAGTCACCAACACCGGTGACGATTATCTGAACCGGTCCTGGGCCTCCCCTAGGTCGACTCAGCCTCAAATGTGTACCTGGTGCGGTATGTAAACACCGCGATGCTGGCCTGCCACGCGGATCGTGAGCCTACGTAGAAACCGTTGCACCCTAACGGCCCCGAATGGGCTACCCCGGGCTGGGGGGGGGGGAGTATCTCCGTTGTGCGTGAGCGCCGTACCCTGCTGTTGGAGTGCGCGCGGTTGTTGCGGAAGAGCCCGAGCGGCGACAGCTCGGAGTGACCCTCGGGGAGCGCGCCAGCCGAGAGCCCCGTGGGCACGCGGTGGAACGCGAACCAGAACCCCACGTCCTGCGGTGGGCAAATTAGACGGACGTCGACCGGGTCAGCTTTCGCTCGCTCGCTCTCTCGTTCTCTCGCTCTCCCGCTCGCTCTCTCACTCGCTCGCTCTCTCGCCCGCTCTCTCGCTCGCTCACTCTCTCGTTCTCTCACTCACTCGCTCGCTCCCTCGCTCACTCTCTCGTTCTCTCGCTCACTCGCTCTCTCGCTCTCTCTCGCCCTCTCACTCGGCCTCTCGCTCGCTCGCTCTCTCGCTCTCTCTCCATCCATCCCCCGTCTCCTCGTCTGTCTGTGGCTCTAAGTCCATGTTCCCGCGTCTATGTCGCCCCGTTTGTCTTGGACTTTACCATGATTGATTAGAGTTCTAATCAATTGTGGTATAATTGTAATAATTATTATAATAATAATGATGAGATAGTGTCTTTCAAATATCAAGAGTTGGGTGATGATGATGATGATGATGATTTAATGAATATTACAATTCAGCCATCTGTCAATGTTGGATCTCTAGCAAAGCCATCGGAGCCCAAGGCGCATTCCATTCGGTGCTCTCGCTCCGCTCTCCAGGTCAGGTCATGCCCCGTAAAAACAAAAAACCCAAACAAAACTTTAATTTGCAATTATTCTTAGATGGAAGGAACTCGAGCCATGGAGCTGCCCTTGGGCAAGGAAATCAAGGCGATATTAACATTGACAAACTTCGGTTGGACTTACGAGTCACCCGTAACGACAACACACGTGGCCAAACGATGTAACTTAATTAGTCCAGTTATGCGCCTCTGGGTTATTTGGGCTTCTTTGTTTTGTAAGAACCTCCACCCCAGAGGCCCTCCCCTCCAAATGCCCTCACGACCCCGCCCCACCCCCCCCATGGAAACCCTCTCGAATAAAAAAATTCATCATATTCTCATGACGTTCCTTTAACCCAGCAAAACCTCCGCCGCCGCGGCCTCCATTGGGCAGGGTGCTGCCACGTGAGCTGCCCGCTGAGTAGAGTTGCCGCGTCATCTTTCGTCACATTGGGGGGAGGACGGTGCGCGTCCGACCAGGGCCGCAACACCTCTACAATTATCTTATTTATCGATTAATTAATGTATTACTACTTGCTGGGTAAAGCCCACTGAGCTGTAAAGCTCTTTGTCAGAAGCGAGCTGGCCCATCACGAATGATCGCTCAACGAAGTGGGCTTGTCGTCACGTGGAAATGTATAGCGGCCAAAATGCTCTAAACGCGTGGTGGTGTCGATCTAAACTGGGGAGGGAAAACCCTGAGGACCCCGGAGAAACATCCACGAGACCACGGGGAGAGAGAGAGAGAGAGACACGCAAACTCCAAAAATACAGCAGCAGGCGTCAGGGTCGAGGTCTGGATCGAACCCACGACCTCCTGTATACCCGTCGAGGTAGTTAACATCTCGCCACTGCGGCGCCCCAGATCACCTTAAATAATTCTGATTTCATAAATGAGGTTATCAGTGAATCAGCCAAGCATTCGGTCAGAGAGGTCGGGGAAATGAGTGGATGGGCGAGCGGGTTAACGACGAGCTCACCTGAGCGCCCGCAGCGGCGTTGTCAATCAGGTTGTTGTTGGGATGGGAAATCCAGAATGTGGAGACGGCCCTGCGTCGCAGGGCGGCACACGCAAACGAGCACAGCGGCCGGGCGATTAGTGCGCCACCCGCAAACTGCAGCAGCGGCAACAGCAGGAGAAACAGCAGCAGAATCAGCAGCAGCAGAATCAGCAGCAGGAGAAGCAGCAGCAGAAGCAGGAGAAAGAGCAGCAGTAAAAGTAGCAGCAGAAGCAGGAGAAGCAGGAGAAGCAGCAGCAGAAGTAGAAGCAGCAGCAGTAGAAGCAGTAGAAGCAGCAGTAGCAGCAGCAGAAGTAGAAGCAGTAGCAGAAGCAGCAGCAGCAGAAGTAGAAGCAGTAGCAGAAGCAGCAGCAGTAGAAGCAGCAGTAGCAGCAGCAGAAGTAGAAGCAACAGAAGCAGCAGCAGTAGAAGCAGCAGTAGCAGCAGCAGAAGCAGCAGCAACAGAAGCAGCAGAAGCAGCAGCAGAGGCAGCAGAAGCAGCAGTAGCAGCAGAAGAAGTAGCAGCATCAGCAGCAGCAGAAGCAGTAGCAGAAGCAGCAGCAGCAGAAGCAGTAGCAGAAGCAGCAGCAGTAGAAGCAGCAGAAGCAGCAGAGGCAGCAGCAGTAGAAGCAGCAGCAGAAGTAGCAGCAGCAGTAGCAGCAGCAGCAGTAGAAGCAGCAGCAGAAGTAGCAGCAGCAGTAGCAGCAGCAGCAGTAGAAGCAGTAGCAGAAGTAGCAGCAGTAGCAGCAGCAGGAGTAGAAGCAGCAGCACAACAGCAGCCTTCTTGGGTCAAATGTCCGCAGAATCATCAGAGTGAACAAATAAAAATCCTACGGCAATCAATCAACGAACGCCGTCAAGTTAGAACCACCGCGACGGGATGATCCAAACGGAGCGGAGGCGAGACGGCGGCTCCTGCGGGATTAACCGCGGTGGAGAATGGGGGGTGGGTGGGGTGGGGTGGGTGGGTGTATTGTGTATATAGTGCACTGCTACTGTTAATCCGGCTGTTATGAATTGACTTATGCAGATAGCGAAGGATGCTGGGTTTAGTGATGTGTGTTGTGTGTGTCGCTGTTGTAAACTTTTAATCACATTTGTTGGCAAAACTGTTACGTTGTTTATATAGCATTGTTTTAGTACGTTTTTGAGGGGCTTGGTTTGGCCCGATTTTTTTGATTTAGTATAGATTTATACTTATTTTTTTTATCTTTATTGTATTATGATTGTTATTGGGATCAAACATCGAAATGGAATTTTTTGCACTATTTGTACGCAGCATGGACCGGTTGTGCATTTTATGTAGGATTTTATTGTTGACGTACGTGACGTTCAGATTTGTGTACAATTAATTTTGAGATGCATCTTGTAATTTTATCGTTTGTTGCGGTTGAACCCAAATCAAGAACCGCATGGCTCACAGGGTAAATCCTAAAAAAATGAAACTGAAACTGGCGTTGGGAAGTTTCGTGGGATCGCTCACATGCAGTCGGCGCTGGGGTTGGGCGTGTAGCCCGGGTGCACGGCGCCCCGCAGCGCGGAGCAAGCGGCGTCGCCGCGGTCGGTGGGCAGCAGCGTGCCGGGCCGCGTGAGCAGGCCGAGGTTGCGCGCCAGCGTGTTGCGCTGCTCCGCACCGTCCTCCATGAAGAAGCAGTGGCCCAGCGTGTCGTAGCCGACAGTGTCGTTCACCTTGCGGCGGCGGCGGCGTCGGGTGGGAGATAAATGAATAAAGACTTTTATGTAAAATCAAAACATTGCTCCAGATGGTGAGAAATCGGTGGCGAGGTCGGGGGGTGGGGGGGGGGGACAAATACGAGAATCGAATCAACATCAGCTGATCAACTGTGCAGTCTGTCAATCGCTTCCGATCGAGCGACGGGCCCAGTGATCAGGTCACCGTGCTTCGAACCTGGAGACCCAGGGGTGTTCGATTTCCGCTCGAGGCCACCACCACCAGTGACGAATATCTCAACAGGTCCTGGGCCCTCCCCTGGGTCGACTCAGCCTAGAAATTAGTACCTGGTGCGGTGTACAAACACCGTCACCGGGTAGAGACAGACAAGGGCGTCCGGGCGTGGTGGTGCTGGCCACGTACCCCAAGTGCCGCTCGCTTCACAGCCCTCGCCCCAACCAGTCTTGTTGAGGCTGCACGGGGGCGTTGGGGGCCGTGGGGTGGGGTGGATGGGGACACCTGTGTCCGCTCGCTCGCTCGCTCACCTGCAGGCCGCTCGTGCCGTGGATGGTGACGCAGCGCGAGAAGCAGTGGTGCACCGCCAGCCCCACCACGGCGGGCGGCGTGGGGTAGAGCGCCGGCTCGTCCACTGCGCCGCACATGTGGAAGTGCAGCGGGTAGCTGCCCAGCACCTGCTGCCCCATGCGCGTCAGCTCCACGTGCGACAGCTCCACCGCGGAGAAGTTCGCCGTCACCTGGGGGCGAAGGGCGGGGCGAAGGGCGGGGGGTGGGGAAGGGCGGGGCGGGGGCGATGGATTTTTCTCCGGGTCCTCCTTTTTTTTCCCTTCCACATTTTAGAATCAGCGCCGCGCGTTTAGAGGACTTGGCCGCGATACAACACCACGTGGCGACGAGCCACTTCGATGTGAGCTGTCGCTTGCGATAGCCAGCCAGGCCGCTTCTGAAAAACGAGCTCAGTGGGTAAAAAAAGAACTAAATAGTTTTTAGCTCAACGATGGGAGAAAGCAACGGCAGAGATCGAAATTGGATCTCAAATTATTTTGGCGGTGGTGCACAAGCGCAATTAGCAATGAAGAAGGATCATTGCCCGAAACGTCGCTTGTTATATATAATATACATTTCCCTTTCAAAAGCCGCAGACAGTTATTGACGAACGCGGTGAAACTTCAGCTCTCGATGGTTGGTATTGATCAGTATTTACATACAGGCCTAACGATGCATTGATTCGCGAGTAGATGGTTACCCTAACGATGCTCCCACGGTGCAGTGTATGCGATGATGATGCTTATAATGCGTTGATGATGATAATGATAATTTTGTGATGATAAGGATGTTTATCCTTCTTTGATTGTATGTCATATGCATGTTGAACTTCTCTCGCACCGTACGTAGCTAATCGGAGGTGCACATGATTACGACCATGTCAATCCTGTGCTAATGACGAAGATGATGATTCAGTGTTGTTGATGATGATCATCATTCTGCCATGATGATTACTCTGATGCTGCACGGATGACGACTATGGTAATGAACCGCCTGTGGTAATGAACTTACAAAGATGCGTCAGACACAATGCAACGCCGATAGAGAACCAAGATTGTGACGTCTCCTCTGGGTGCCCCCCTGCCCCCCCCCCGCACCTTGATGTGCCCGCCGAACGTGTCGAAGGAGAAGAAGCGGCAGGCGTTGTCCCCGTAGCAGCTGGGCTCCATCTCCCCCTGGACGACGACGTTCCGCGTCAGGAGCCCCACCTCGGCCCTCATGTCCACGCCGTCCACCACCTCGCCCACGTGCGTGAACCGCGGCTTGCCTGCACGCGCGCACAGGCAAAGGCCCCCCCACCCCCGAGATAGGCTTAGCAGACCGAAGGGGCCAAGGGCTGTTTGCGAACACCTTTTTGAAGGCTGGCATTTGCACACGAGGGGTTGGGGGTGGCCTGCATCATGCCCGGCCGTCTTTGTCTCCCCAGTGCTGATACTTATACAACACACGAAGTACTAATTTAAGGCCCAGTTGACCTAGAGGAGGCCAAGGTCATGTCACGTTATCGGTAGTGTAGCTACCCCGATCCCAATACGGAAACACGGACACACAGACACGTGGACACACTGACAGACACACGGACACGCGGACAGACACACGGACACACAGACACACTAACAGACACACAGACACACTGACAGACACACGGACACGCGGACAGACACACGGACACACTGACAGACACACAGAAACACGGAAACGCGGACAGACACACGGACACAGACACACTGACAGACACACAAACACGCGGACAGACAGACACACTGACAGACACAAGCATACGCGGACAGACACATGGACAGACACACGGACACAGACACACGGACACGTGGACAGGCACACGGACACACGGACACACTGGGGGACACGCGAGCGGGGGTTTTGCCGGCCTCACCGTCCACCTTGACCTGGTTGGCGGCGCACTCGGGGCACGGCAGCAGCGTGAACTCCTCCGCCTGGTGCATCGAGAAGTCGGTGCTCGCCACGACCACGCGATCGCCCGCGCGCCACGACCGCACGTCCTCCGCCAGGGTCAGCAGCGGCGACCCCAGCAGCTCCACGCGGAACCCACAGCGAGGGATGCCTGCGGAGAACGGCGCCGGTGGGGGCGGGCAGGAGGAGGAGGTGGAGGACGAGGGTTGATGGAGGAGGAGGACAAGGAGGCTGCCGAATGTGCGGACTTAATGCCAACTGAGAGCGTAAATGAACAACGAAGCATACACATTAGAGGTAATAACATTTTAAATAATCTTGATTTGAAGCTTTCGTGACTGCAGGAATCCATACATCATCACCTGATGACGGACGAAACGTCGTGATTTATTTTATTTTATACCTACGTGACTTTACCCAAAGAACCAAAGAGTATATTTTAATGACTGTGGTCACATTTGTAATTTCCCCGCACACAGCGGCCCACCTGCCCTCGGAATGAACCTGCCCCTACGGACTGCTGCCCTTATGGCCAGTCCGGGCCTTGCCTAAACCTCCTCCATATCCTCTCTACTGAGGTCGACCCTAGCCCCCACCCCACTACTTGGCAGTGCCCCCCCACCCCCCAATAACATAGTGGTGGTGGGGGGGGGGGGGCTGGTGGTGGTCACCTTCCTCCCAGGCGCTGTAGGCCGTCACGCTGTAGTTGCTCCCGTCGGTTGTTCGGAACACGTGGCTGGCGGAGGCGACCCCGTGCGAGTCCATGTTGCGGTATTCCCGGAGGTCCTCTTGTGGGGGGCCCGGCCCCCCGATCACTGCCACCATAGCCCACGAGTATCTGCAGTGACACCGGTCAGAGCGGATGGGGGGGGGGGGGGGTGAGGGGGGGACGTGGAGGTGGGGGCATTGCGTCACACTCGAGGTTCTTGTCGTCGTCGTCGTCGTCATAGCCGTCGCCGTCATCAGCGACATTTTCGTGATCGTTAGCGAGGTTCTATCCACTGCTGGATGAAGGCACTGCTACATATACGTGTATACACACACAAGATTAAGATTATCACCCTAATCAGACATGGTCTCTCAAATGCCGGATGATGTCTTTGACGATAGCCATATTCATTCATGCCGTATGAAAACTATTTAAATTTGAGGGATTTATTCGAATGCAACTTGATCTTCCACGTGCAATAGACGTATGGTATTAAACATGGCCCAAGATGGCTTTACTCGTGTTGACTTTTTTTCTAAAAGAAAGTAGTTTTATAATGTTCAGTAGTTGTGTGCACGTGCTACGTGCGTGTGTGTGTGGCCGGCCATGCAAGATGCACCGCACCACTGCCCTCTGGCGGGTGAATCTGGGAGCGCACCGAGGGCAGGCGCTTGTTGGCGAGCGCCTATTTATGTTCCCACGCCTACCGCCTTTACCGGCACGCACTGAGCGGCGTAGAGTGAATTTATGGCTGAATAAATCTCCACGACCCGCGTGGCAGGGCGGAGAGCCCTCAACGTCTCCAAATTGCAAATTGGATTTGTTTTTCTCTCTCTCTCTGATCTATCTCCATGCGTGTCCCGTCTCTCTCTCTGGGTACATTTTCAAACACACATCTTCTCCTTACTTCTCGGATGAAAAACATTTTCATCCGTCCAATCAGCGTGCATCTGGCCCCAGTTTACCCCCCCCCCCCCCCCCCCCAATAAAAAACCAGGACTTGCTTAGAGGAGCAACAACAACAGGAAATGATAAAACCTCGTGATCAAGAAAACACTGCTACGGCCGCGAATTCCACCACGCCCCCCCCCCCCAAACATGCAAACGATGAGAATGTTAATTCAAACTGCGACACTGCGCAGGCGCGCGAGTGCCAGGCTGCATAGCTCCGTCTGACGGCCCGAAACCTCCAACACGGACACTCTTCACCCAATTACACGAACAATCCTGCCCAACAAAGCGGGCACGCGCGCGCGCGCGCCAGTGAATGAATGAATGCAGACAGCTGTAGCAGAGTTCAGGGTTCACGCGCACTATTTTTTTGTGTGCAGACGCCACCCTCTCTCGCACCCCAGATAAGTGATGCAATCGGATAATATGGTCCGGGTGCAGACACATGTGGGGGAGTACAGAAGCCCCACTCCGACAAAAATTAAAACTAAAAAATGTTGCCCCAGAGAAGTTCACATCCCACGTGTCCCTTTTGTCGGCTGTTACACAACGCGTGGCTTATTTGGCAGCCGGGCACTTAGCCTCGAGTCTGGCCCCGATTTAAAACACACAAAGTTGTAGCCTCAACAGACTGTTGGGGCAAGTGCTGCTGGCGAGCACACCAATACCAATTAGCCGCCGTTCGCCACTAAGTGACGGTGACGGCACCCACGGCGACCGTGCCAGGCAAGGTGCACTTTGAGGGCACGTGAAGTGTCGAAGGCTCGCTGACAGACGGGGTCACTGGACAGACCCAGGTGCCATGGATTGACTGACTGAGATTACTGGCAGATGCACCAGCTGTACCCCAGCTGTACGTATACACACACATGGGTTCCTTTGAGCGTGGGACGGCAGCCTACCACCACTGGATCAAACCCTGCTGATGAAACCGAGAAAGTCGAAACCGGGGGGGGTCAACAGTTTTGCCTTGCTGAAGAACAAAATGCTGCCGGAGGGCATTGGAAGAGAAGGCCAACTATGCTGATTACTCTAAATGTGATTTCATGTCAGTAATTTTTTTTGTTTGCTTCGGGTGGTGGCGTGAGATTCACGCTCTCGTCGGAATGGGAGAGGGGACGGAATATGAACGCACGTGAGAGTCGGGGAGATTTAAACGCGGCCGTGAAATCGTGACCGGCACAGCACACGGGGAGCCGTTTCAAAGCGGCTCGTTGTGCGACTCGAGTTGACTGCCATCGGCCGGGCAGGATGCAGAATTCTGCCGCGCGGGTTTCGCTTTTCGGGATGGTCCTTGACCCGGGCTACACAGGACATTTATAAGGAAAGCCCCGCTCAAGCAAACTCACATGACCGACTGGGGAACGCATCGAAAATGTCACTTTTGTTTCAACCGGTTGGAATCCTTGCCTGCCCAGATAAACGAAGTAATAAACGTGGCACATTCCCGTCCCTGCCCCTTATTACCACCGTCACACCTCCACTCACGCAACACACAAACCAGACCCCCCACCCACCCACCCGTGCCACCACCACGAAGCAATCTCACGTCTCCACGAACTTGGTCGCTGGCCGCGTGACATTTTGGACATTTGTCACATGTTGGGACCTGCGCTCAGCAACCGTGATTTTAACAACAACAACGACAACAACAACAACCTCCTGGCGCAACTGCCAACCCCCACCCCTTACCGGTACTGCAGCTCGGCGACGAATCTGCTGCCCGTGATGCTCCCGACCTCGAGCCGCGCCTCTCGCCCCAGGCTCTTGGCCGCCGAGTCGCCCACGGCCACAGCCACCACGGTGCCGGGAGGCAGCGCTCGCAGGAAGCGGAGGAGGCGCTGCGACTCAGTGGGAGACTCGTGGGTGTCGAAGCGCTCCGAGTGGAGGAGCTGTGCCTCGAGCGGGTCCAGTACCCGCACGTTGATGCCCCGGCTCCCCCACTGCCACTCGAACGAGTACTCGCCTGCGCGCGTGTGTGTGCGTGTGTGTGCGTGCGCGTGTGTGCGTGCGCGCGTGTGTATGTATGTATGTGCACACGCGTGTATTTGTGTATGTGCGTGCGCGCGTGTGTGTTTGTGTGTATGGGGAGCGGAAGTGTAGCGATTAGCTCCAGTAGTTTTCTAACATCGTAAGGGAGAACGTTCCAGACGGCCGCAGAAGCACATCTGAAAGCGCGCGATGCAGTGACCGTCTTTTGGTCGATGATTAGCCAAAAGCGGCTGCGAGGATGAGCGGAGTTCGCGTGATGGTGTATGCTCCTTGACGAGATCAGCAGCAAGGTTGGCAGTGATGCACGAGCACACATTGCGACTCAACACATTCGGCAATAACACGTCCTTCAAATGAAACCGATACATAACTGGCGACGTTCCGGGCCATGACCCTCCTCCATTTTCTCTCTGAGGCTCCCCCCCACCACGCTCTTACTCCCTCCCGCCCGCCCGCTCACCGTGGGGCAACCCGGCCGGGTGCAGGGTGCGCGCCAGGCGAGTCCACGACAGCGCGGGCCGCCCGTGGAGCTGCAGGACGCCGCCGGCGCCGACGCCGATGAATTTCCTGCCGTAGCCCGGCACGGGGAGGCCCTCGTCCGCGCGCCCGTAGAGCGCGATGGTGGCGCGCGCGCGGTACGGGCACGCGCGCGCCCCCACGTGCAGCTCCCCGCCGGCGTGCACGAGCACGTGGCGCGCGCGCAGGGCGACGTGCAGGCCGGGCCGGTCCGCGAACACCAGCTTGCCTGTGTTCACAGTCAATCGGAATGTCTCTATATATACTGGAAGAATCCGATGAGCTACAAATCTCTTTTGTTGTTGTTGTTGTTGTTCACAGGATGGCTCCGGTAGGGGTGGGTCAGAACGTTGACAACAACAAACATTAGACACACAAAAACTATAGAAGTGCAAATTATAGTAAAGGTAAGCAAATTGCTGAAAAATAAATATACAAATTATACTCAATATTTATATCTTACCAGGTAAAACCTACTGAGCTATTAGCCTATTTTGAGAAGCGAACCGGCTATCAGAGCGAAGTGGCTTATCACGTGGACATTTATTGCAGCAAATAAATCATTGCTTTTGCGTTCAATGATCCGTCATTGCGCTGCACTGTAGATACAATCGCTGGGCATGCACCACACCCGGCCCCCTTTGTCTCTCCCAGTGCTGATGTATTAGACACCGCACGAGGTGTTGGTTAAAATATTCGTCAGTCGTGTTGATCCTCATCATCATCATCATTATTGCAGTGATCATGATCATTTTAGCGATCGTCATGATGATGATGTGAGTGGTGCATTCACATCGTCGATAACACGTGCTATCAGTCGTCATCATCGATCTCGTCATTTGCATCATCGTCACCATCATGAAGGGCACCGCAGTCGTCGTCGTCACAATATGCGCGTGCACATCACGCGAAGTCTCAATCACATCGACCAAGTAAGCAACTGCGTTCCTTAAAATACGGAACGGGTAGTAACCACCCCTGCATCCCGGTCCTCGGAGAACATGGGGGAGGTGGAGAGGGGGGTAGAGGGGGGGGTAGAGGGGGGTGGAGGGGGGGTTGAGGGGGGGTTGAGGGGGGTATAGGGGGAGTGGAGGGGGATGGTAGAGGGGGGGTTGAGGGGGGGTGGAGGGGGGTTGAGGGGGGTTGAGGGAGGGGTTGAGGAAGGGGTTGAGGGGGGTGGAGGGGGAGTAGAGGGGGGGGGGTACAGGAAGGACGCCCCCACCTCCATCCCGGATCTCGATGGAATCCAACGACGCCGACTCCTCGAGGCGCAGGAACTGACCCTCGCCGATGACCACCTTCCTCGACTCGTCCAAGCCCGGTCGCCAAGGTGACAGGGATAAGTTCTGATCCGGGCAATTGTCTGTGTGTGTGTGTTCGTTTGTGGAGTGGGTGGGGGGTGGGGGAAGGGGTCGGTGGAGGGAGTCGATGTTTACGGGGTTGACATCATCGTTGAGAGGAAGGCTCGGGTGAAGCGTGGGAAGGAGTGAGATGATGACAGCGCGCGGTGCGGCGCGGACAGGAAGGAAGACAAAGGAGGATGAAGGAAGACACGGACACGACCAACGTGGCGTGAACTTTCCTCTCGCTTCGAGCGATCCCCCCGCCCCCCACCTTGCGTCTTACCGACGGAATATTAACACGTGACACGCTGCACGCGCCTGATGATTGCTAAACGCTCCCACCCACCCACCGCAGGCGTCACAATTGGAGCGCTAGTTGACGTGGACTCGGAGCTCTGTGCTCCACGTGCGACACACACGTCCACAATGGGCACGCCGCACACACACGCCGCACACACGCACACGCACACACACGCGCACACACACACAAGCACACACACAAGCACACACACAAGCACACACACAAGCACACACAAGCACACACACGCGCACACACACGCACACACACGCGCACACACACACACGCACACACACGCACACACGCACACACACGCACACACACACGCACACACACACACAAGCACACACAAGCACACACGCACGCACACACACACACGCACGCCTCGTGCTTCCTCCTCTCTTCACTTGAAGCAGCATTGCGCGTCACGTGGGAACACAGATCCCCCGCGCAGCCTCGAGCAGACTGTTGGGGACAAGCGGTGTTTGCGAGTAGCACCTATGACGGCTGGCACGGCACACGAGGGGGTGGGTGACCAACGCCACGCACGGCCGCCTTTGTCTCCCCAGTGATGATTTTTACCCACCGCACCGGGTACCCATTTAAGGTGGTTGAGTCGACCTTACTCACGGGACGTGTTTTCCACCAATTATCAGGCTCGTGCAGCGCCTATGTAACGACCACTACGCTGCACGTACGAACTGAGGACGCATGGGCAAACTCGGGAAAAGACGACCACACGTAGCTGGTCGCGAGGAGTGGCGGTCCGAGTAATCCCAGTCGTAAAGCAGAGGGGGGAGCGGCATGGTCGCGGTGACGAGTCGAAGACTATACAGACCTGCTGCTGCTGTTGCTGCTGCTGTTGTTGCTGCTGCTGTTGCTGCTGCTGTTGCTGCTGCTGCTGTTGCTCAGTTGGTACCACACGGAGATCGAGGCGCCGTAGGGTGCCAGCGCTTGTTTGTGAGCACCTATTAGCGATTCGCTCACGCGAGCCTCGCAGATTCGGAACTGCGAGATTTTCTCGCCACCACTCCTCCCATCTCCCCCACCCCCCCCTCTCTCCCCCACCCTGCTTCTTCTTCACCCCCCCACCCTCCTCCCATCTCTCTCTCTCCTTGTGACGCAACGCGAACGCTCAGGATTTGCACTCCGCATTAAACACAACAAAAATGTATTGCGGGAGGTCGCCCACCCACCCACCACAACCACCACCACCACCACCACTTTCCTCTTCTCTCACCCTCGCCGACCTCAACATCATTATTATTATTCACAGGAAATTCCTAAGGCTCATAGAGCCAAACGAAAGCCGGGCGAAATTGCCCAAGTTGTGAGATGAGATCACTTTTTTTTGTTAGGTGACACGGGACGGCCAAGACTCCCGTGCGATGCGGGTGATGGCCATGATGACGATGATGACGATCACGATGATGGTGGTGTCGATGGGAAGTTACATTTCCGAAGCAACAAAGGGAAAAATCCGCACACATCAGGATTTTTCCGCAGCTGCAGCAGCGCGCTCATATCCGTTCCCCGCACACGGGAGCTGAACTTTTTTAGTGTATGCACGCATGTATGTGTGTGTGTATGTGTGTATGTATGTGTGTATGTATGTATGTGGCCTTCATAGGTGCTCGCTAACAGCACTTGCCCCTAGAGTCTGTCAAGGCCATACGGAGGATCTTTGATCTTTGTACGTATGTGTTTATGTATGTGTGTATGTATGTACGTATGTGTGTATGTATGTGTGTATGTATGTGTGTATGTATGTGTGTGTATGTGTGTATGCATGTGTGTGGGGAGCGGTAGTGTAGCGCTTAGCTACACCCCTAGGACGACTCAGCATCAAATTATTACCTGGTGCTGTGTGTAAATATCGCCACTGGGGAGACAAAGGCGGTCGGGCGTGGTGCTGGCCACCCACTCCCTCGTGTACTGTTCCGGCCTTCATAGGTGCTCGCTAACAGCACTTGCCCCTCCAGTCTGTTAAGGCTATACGGGGGATCTTTGTCTTTTTTTTAATACAAATAACTAAATAAGTGTCACGTGGGGAGTGGAAGTGTAGCGGTCAGCACACTGCGCGAGGGATCCGGCGTCCCGGGTTCGATCTTCGCTCGCGGTCAACACAGACCAGCGACGATCATCTGAACCGGTCCTGGGCCTCCCTTAGGTCGACTCAGCCTCAACTGAGTACCTGGTGCTGCGAGAGATACAAAGGCGGCCGGGCGTGGTGTTGGCCACCCACAGCGCCGTGTGTCGTACCAGTACAAACGTCTGCGAAGGCTATACGAGGGGGGGATCTTTGCAGTACGATAGAACGCGCGCATTGTTGAATAAAAAATAACTTTAAAAGAAAAAAACTAAATTGCCGCAGCATCCAGCGACAGCAAAAAAGATATTGAAAAAAAACCAGAAAGAAAATAATTCCCATCCATCATTCACAATTCTTCCCATAAATAGGCAAGTTCCCAACTCTCTCCCGAGTTCATGTCCGGGGAACTGAATAACAGGCACAGCGAGAGAGAGAGAGAGAGAAAAACAACCCTTTTAAAGGTCCAGGTTCAGCTGCGTACGCGACAAAATTCATTCCCCTTCTCGCACTCCGCGCTCGCTCTCAATTGCGTAAGCGCAGATCCGCAGGCCGGCACGACTGCCGCTCATACATTTCGGCATGCCAACAACAGAACAATGCACGAGTGTGTGTGTGTATATATACTGGCACGTGATAAAACACATACACAACTCTGGCTCGACAACGCGCATTCCCCTCCCACCACACCCAAAGTAATAATTTGAAAGAAATCAAGAAAAAACAACACAACCCGTAACATCTGCAATAACTTCACACGCGGGAAGCCGACCTCGGATTGCTGGTGCCAAAGAGGCGCTCTCCGCAGGAGCACGCGCGCCACGCCCGATTTCCTCCTCCTCGGGATGTTCATCATTCCCACGGGCGCGTTACTTGGAACAACGGCGGCATCAGAGCACAACGCGCACGGCAGCCTCCCCCCACCCCCCAGTGCGCCGATTGCCCTCAACGCCAAGACGCACCGGGAGACGAATCGCGTAACGAGACGGCTTCGTTCAAGAAACGCCCCAACCACCACCACCGCCACCACGGCCACCACGACTCGCCGGTAAGGTTCCACACCTTCACCAGTTCACGAGCGCTCAGCCAGCCGCTACACAACGCTCAGCAGCAACTCAAAGCCACCGCCGCCGAACTCGCGAGCGGCAGCCGTCAGCACTCGCCAGCGGCTACCGCCAGGAAATTTGAGCCGCTCGCCATAAATCACGACCGCTCACCATAGATTACGACCACCACTCACCAGTAAATAGACCACTCGCCAGCCAATCACAATCACTCACCAGCAATCGCCACCACTCACCAGCGCTCACCCGCACGCACCTGCAGCGCCCATCTAACGCGCTACCGCGTAGCGCACAGCCTCGACACAAAGATCACAGAGTCACACACGGAGGGGTGTGGGGGGGAAACTGCGAGGTCGCGGATTCAATTTCAAATGCAAGCCACAGTTCAGACACGGGCGCGTGCTCATTGCTACCGCCAGTGCCGCGACTGACCCAAAGAAGAAAAAAAATAAAGCAAAATAAATTTACAGTATTTTTAAAACCAAGCATAATCCAGCACGGCACGTGACAACAACAACAACACACGCCACGCGCACGCGCTCACGCGCCCCAGCAGAATGCTGCAGCCCCAATGCCGACGGTGCTGCCGAGTGGCCACGAGAGGTCGTTTGGTGGTTTTTGTTGTTGATTTTTTTGTTTGAGATGCAACCGAGGGACTCACCGACACTGCGACTCCACCGCTCGCGCGCCGTAAGACGACGACGACGATGTTGACGCGGACGATGAAGATGCGAGTCGAAGCAATTTGCTCTCTGCACAACGACGTGGCCGCCGATCGCCCGTCGTGCCTCTACAGCGACTAATTGAGCAGCTGAGTCGGAACGCTTCGCGTCGTCTTGTCCGCCACTCTCGCTCCGAGACGTCTCTCGTGAAGGTTGTGATGAGGTCGATGAGTTATTGAATTCTGCCGCGGCCGATGATTCTGCCTCTATTTATACAGAATCCGAATGGACCCCCCCCCTCACACTCCCCCCACTACACCCCCACCTTCTCCCTCCCTCCCTCCCTCCCCTCATCTCCTCCCTCACCTCCCCTCACTCCCCACCACGCCCCCACCCTCGTCCCCCCTCACCTTCCTCCAACCCTGACCGCTACCATCCGCAACCCCCTCGCCTGGCTCCCTCGCTCTCCCATCACCACCCCACCCCTTCCTCTCTCTCCCCCCCGCCGACACCGCCACCCCCCTCTCTCTCGGCGCAACCTTAAAATTGGCGGTCGTGTAAATAAATAAATAAGCTCTCAGCCACGCAAATCAAATGGAATGAAATAAAACAAGCGCTAACACACACACGCGCGCGCGCACACAGCCGTGGCCAGACGCCCTGAAATGTTTCCAAATTCTGACGCCGAGGAATGCGGATCCACATTGCCGGCGTTCTTCTGCAACACGCGACCTCGGCGCGCGTGGCGCAATCAAGAGTCCCCCGACCCTCTATCCCCTTCCTGACAAATAACCCACCCCACCCATCACAGCCACCCTCCAAACTCCCTGCAGATGCCCCGTAAAATTCCCAAGCAGACAGAATCACCTCCCAAACTCCCACCCCTCTTATCCATCCCCCCTCCCCC